CTGTGACGGTGGAGGAGTGCGTGAGGTTATGGCGGCGCCATCCGTGCTGCTTTCTGTGGGCGGACATAGTAACTACTTCACAGTGAGCGCGCGGGCGTTTTAAATGTACCTTTTATCGCCACGGAAAACCCTCCATCACCCTATACACACACTTCTCCATTACTCTGAGATAAAAGCAGGAACTGATTTTGAAGAACTACCGTGGTTTGGTTAAGAACGAGTTTCCTACTTAGCACAAAATTCATTTTGTGTTCATAGTTTCCCTTGTTTACATTCTTAGCTGGGTGCGAGGTTGGGCGTACCCGAATATGGCCGCGTCGTGCTTTATTTATTTTTATAAATCGGAGGTGAAATTCAATAATAATAATGTGCTTTCCAAGTTGAGTGGAACACATCTGCAGCCGATTTACTTTTCCCTAACCGCCCTACCCGCCGTACTGAAATCTAACCTTAGGTAAACCCAGACGAAGTTCAGAGAGTTCGCAACACTTGCCTCGTCAAAGTGCACAACGGGAAACCTTTTCCTGCTTGGCGTGTCAAAATCGATCATCAGGATATGGGTCATGATTTGACCCGTGGCGATTGAATCATTTTTGTGAAGCTGAGTTCATTTGATCCTTCAACTTTATAAAGGGTTGCACTAAAACATCATCTTCATACCATGAAAATATCAATCCGAGACGTGTTTACAAGTTCCTCCGAACCGTTTATTGTTCACTTTCCCAATTACTTTATATTACAGTCTCTGCTTGTTAACCGGCAAACCGTGGCACACACTAATTCCTCATCCAACTTTAACTACTGTATATGTCGTATCAACTACCAGTACTCTTGTTTCAACGAAACCGTTTGGATGAGATAACGATGAGACCCCCCCCCTTTTGCATGAATGATATAGTTATTACGATTTAGTATAAAGTGAACTGAGTCATTACATATTTCGGAGGCTCTCAACCATTACTCATAGCGAGCTAGTGCCACCGGTGCGACCATAATTGTTCGAAATGAGGCGGTTAATAAATTTTAGTCGGTTTGAGGAAATACATTTTGTTTATTCCAATCCTGATTTGGTTGTACCAGGTCAGTGTTCTTTGGTGCTGTTGCACTCGCACCGACATTGGTGCTTGCGCAGGCTGCAGCTGTCGAGGCACTCCTTCTGCTTCTTCTGATCCTTCTGCCCCCGACACGCCTGGTCGCACTTGATCTCCTGGTCGCCGCAGTCCCCGAGGCACCTCTGCACCGCCTCACTGTCGTACGCCTCCAGGTCGCCGCCGGGGAGGCCCATGCAGCTGCAGGTACAGTTGGCCTTGCGGATTCCCTGGAGCTCTGGAGCGCTGGAGCGGCCGCAGTTGCAGCTCTGGAACAGGAGCAGAGATAGACAAGTAGTTCTCTCCCCTCCCTCCCCCCCTCTCCCCTCCCTCCCCCCCTCTCTCCCCCTCCCTCTCTCCCTCTCTCCTTCCCTCTCCCTCCCCCTCTCTCACGCATACGCACAGCGTGTATGAGTTGAAGATCGGCAGGGCCACACAGAAAGCCGCGAGCATAGCGCCGCAGCTGAAACCACATCAAAGAAGTGGGACTAGAAATTGGTTTTCGACTCCGCCGAGTTGGTTCGCATCGCTATCACGCCTGCTCCCTCCCTCTCTCTCTCTCTCACTCACACACACACTCCGCGGGCTGCCGCGGGCAGTTTGGTAAGCGACGGGGCGGTGCTTCGTGAAGTTGTGAACACGCGGGAACACATTGATGGCGAGCAAACAGTCGAGGGCGAGGAAGGCGGAGAGAGATGGGGATGGACTTGATTCCCTCCCTGTCCTCGACTTGTTTGCCCTTTCATTTGTGATTTTGTATTTGATTTATTTAAAAGTTTTCGTTGTTGTTGTTGTTGTCTTATGACCGTACGATATTTTGGGCTAACTTTATTACATATTTAAAGTAGCGAGCAGCTTTCGGATAACAATAAAGTTACAATAAAAACTGCGTCAGTGTGCCGATTGATAGATGGGGATGTTCACTGCAACAACGTCTCGGGTGTGTGTGTGTGTGTGCGTGTGAGTGTGTGCGTGCGCGTGTGTGTGTGTGTGCGTGCGTGTTTCGCGCGTTCGAGAACTGATAGGGGATATGGGAGAGAAAAGGGGGGGGGCTTTGTTGTTGTTTTAAAAACAGTGTAGCATAGCGTGTGCGCGCGCGCGGGAAGATTCAAAATGTTCTGTTTATTCTTGGGAGTCACAGAGGCGCGGACAAGACGGCTTAGTATGACGGGAATGCCGGCCCGTCACTCCCCTTTTCTTCGTCGTTCTCTGCCCCCACCCCCTTTTCTCTTTCTGCCTCTTAGTTTCAATGGAGCCGTGCTCCCGCATCCTTAGCTCCTCGCCGTCTCTCTCTTTGACGAACGAGAGAGAGAGAGAGAGAGAGAGGGAGGGAGGGAAGGAAGGAGGGAGGGAGGGAGGGAGAGAGGGAGGGAGGGAGAGGGGCGTTGCATGCAGCCCGTTCTGATCTCTCGCCTTTTGCTCGACGCGCAGAACATTGGGTGTGGGTGGTGGGTAGTACAACACAATAAGAAAGGGGGTGTGGGAGGGAGGGGAGAGAGAGAGAGAGAGAGAGAGATGGAGAGAGAGTTGGGTGGGTCTATGCTAGTTAGGCCCTCTGGTCTGCCTTTGATCGTCGCTGAATGGAGGGGTGGCCGTTCAGACGGTCGCTCAGACGGTCGCTCAGACGGTCGCTCAGACGGTCGCGCTCAGACCGACCATCAGACGTGCCTTTTGCGGAGCGAGTCCATCGCTACCGATGACCTGTGATCATGTCAGACAATGAGAAAACGACTGGAGTTGAGGTAAAAGAAAATACATCCAAGAAAATTCTGTACCGAGGAAAAACGAAATAGAGATGGCAGGTAAAATATTAAGGAAGTTAAAATTGGAAAGCGGTGAGCTTTGCATACTGCTGGAGCCTGAGTGAATGGATGACTGATGACTTAGTGTTTAGTACTCGGTTTTGGTTAGACCATGGGTCGGACTAGCGGCGGGCATTGTCGTTTCGGCCTCGTCGTCGGCAACCCTCCCTCCTCGAAATGGTGATTTTTTACTCGTTCTTTACCAACCCACTTTCCCTTCTCGTTGGTAGGAAGAACGAGTATTGTTCTCAGTGCTGTGTAACCCTTTTTCTGTTCCTGTTTTCATCTCAGAACACACAACACCTACACACATGACAATAGTACCACTGTAAAGCGGGAACGCTGGTCTCAATTAAAGCAATGAACCTTTTTTCAGGTTTA